ACATATAAGGAAAAAGGGGGTTTCCGAGGAATCAACAATGAAGCCCGTCAAAGTATTGAAGTTAAGTCACACGTTAACATTTGAAGGTATACACTCTTTTATTGTAAATTTCGTCACATTCATGTATTTGTTAATTACATATAGTGTATGTTTCATAAAATGGAGTATAAAGATCTGAGCATCTGATTTTGCCCACCAATTGTTTACTAAAATGCTTGAAACAAATATATCGACCAATTTTTTTTTTTTTTGTAATCTTTGAACTGTCATATCTCTCTCATACTGGCTTAGAATGATTTGAATTTTTTTTATGCATATTCTCATGTTAGCTACAAATTAGGTTCTGAATTTGAATTGTCCTATCTCCCACATATTAGCTTGTAATTAGATTCAGTCAATTATTTGGATCAAGTGACTCGAGGATTACATTATATTAGAATAAATTAAAATTCTTTAATATTTAACACATTCTATTAGAATTTATAGTCTTATTCTTTTAGAATGTACTGGAAATTTGTAATATTTGAAAGCTGATTATGTTTTCTTTGTGAGTTTAGGTTTTGAAGAGACTATCACTAATGTGAAAAAAGAAAGAAAATACCTGAGACCAATAATGTATTCTAGTAGAATGTATTCAACCAAAATGTATAAAATGATGTTTAACAATAATATTTTTTTTTAAGAATGATTAGTGTTAACGATTTTTAATGTTTTTGATGTTTTTTTTTTTCTTTTTAAAAAAAAAAAACATTTTTAGATTTAATAATTAAGAATAACCGTAATTCTTAACCCTAATTACTCATATTTTTTTTAGAATTAATGTAATTAGTGATTTTTAAAGAATAAAATCCGTTTCATATAAAATCCTTGCTTTTTTAGAAAATTTCATTCTTGATAGTATATGTTGTATAATTTGTAAACATGTTAATTATCAAAAATATCTTTAATGAAACCGTATTTCGTAAGAATAAAATCAGAAATATCTTTACTACTTTACGTCTAACAATTTATCATTTTGAAATAATATAACCGGTTATTATTAACAATTATGTTATAATTAAAACTGAATTAATTTAAAAACTGAGATATTTAAAATCAATCGAATTAATTATCCATTGACATCCAAAATTTCATATTTTAAATATAGTTAATTTTCTAAAATACTCTTATAACTAAATTTGAATGATAATATGATACATGATATTCCATTGTAATAGCATACCCTCAAAATTGTAATCATTCATTGTTTTCATCTTTTGGTCCAAAATTGTCCATTTATGCATATAATAGTTATCTA